AGGAAAAACCTCCTCAGTCTCCAGGTTGGTATCTGCCCTCGTACCCTTTTACTGCAGAGCTGATCCCAGTGTAGCTGTGATTTCACGTCACTGATCCTTCGTCCATCTCAGGTCCTCAGGCAAAAAGGCCACACCCCCCACATCAAAGGCCAACTTGGCGTCTGGCGGTAAACCTCCACCGCGCTCCGGGAGTCGGAGCAGCACCCGCTTAAGCAATGAAATCCTGGCAACAAACGGCAACACCAAGACCTCACCTGGTCAGAGCGAGTCCCGCAAGAGACTACCCACAGGTAAACAACCAATCAGCAATCAGGAAGCAGTGCTGGGAGAAGGGGAGTATCAAAATAAGAGTCTTTATTATGCAAAAACACAACTTTTTATTGTTGCGTTGCATATTATTGGCTGTTACTAAATGTTGTAGCTTGCCAATGTGTATATCCTATGTTGCTGCTTAGTTCAGTAGTGAAGCATCTTATTTTGTCAGTTCATTTCTGTGATGCATTAAGTCTTAATCGGGAAACAAACCAGAATTAACATGCTAAAGTAAATGCGGCTCAGAGCCGTACTGAAGTACAGCGGTTGGACTTGGTAAATTTCCTAATGACCAATCAATCAAGCAGAGACAGCTATCAACAGGTAAACGATAACAGTAAAAGTGAGATGTGAGCAGCGCATAAGCTGCTGAAGCGTTTGCTCTGTTCAGTCCAGACCGACTCCGACCTCTGTGGAGCACCGCTGTCGTCAGAACAGCTGTTTGTCTGGTCACAGTCCTGCTGACGGACCGACGCTCTGTGGGGATGACGCTTTGTTAAACGCACCGGTGAGAAGAAACTTAAAACGTAGAAAACTGGGGGGGGCTCCAGGGGCTATACGTGTCTCACACTTGTGTCTGAGTCGGTGTGGACTGACGCATCTGATAGACGGGAGTTTATCTGTTGCCTGAGAGGGGCTGGTGACAAAATGCCTTCTATGAGACCTGGTCTTGACCTGTAGCAGCCAAGACAAATACACAAGTAAACTCTCCCATCGGGAACCGGTTGTGGCTATGGACATATTCTGGATTAAAAAGGACACACCCGTAAGTGTGAAGGTGAAGGTAATGCAGTGTAGGAAATATGATTTTCCATGTGTGACGGTGTAAATGCTTCTTATCTCAAAAGTCAGTTTAAGTGGAAGCTCATCATTTTTACTTGAAAGTAAACAGAGGAGCTCAAAATGTTAAAATTTAACTTTTGTTGCATGTCACTTAAAGTCTAATTGATATCGATCACAGGCCCCTGAATCAAATTTCAATTGCATCGTGGCCTATTTTTAAGTATCAACAAACATCGGATCAATGGCTAAGAATTGATATGGGATTGTATCATGATGAGTGACAGTTTACACCACTGGTAACCAGCTGATCAATAGACATTACACCTGCAGACAGGTGAGCGTTGTCACCCTGGTCCAGGCAGGTATATTGTGAACACTTCAGGTCACAGCATGAAGTGAAACCTTCTCCAGGTAACAGGACACCTGCCTCTCTGAACTAGACACATCAGCTGTCTCCCTCCCCCAGATGCCGCTCTCCTTCCTAAACCCGCCAGACCTGTCCTCCCACCTTCCACCTCATCTTCATCCAGTCGCCGCTCCTCTGGGAGGAACCACGGCGTCCATGAGCTGTCGGCGTGTGAGCAGCTGACGGTGGAGCTGGTCAGACATGAAGACAGCTGGCCCTTCATGAAGCTGGTGTCTAGGACTCAGGTACATGCACTGCACATGTGTATACACACAGTGAATAGAGGGACCTGTCTAAACTACCTGTCTACCTGCCTGCAGGTACCTGACTACTATGACATCATCAAGAAGCCCATAGCTCTCAGCACCATCAGGGAGAAGGTGAACAACTGTGAATATCAGACAGCAGGTGAGGAAACACTGCGACGAACGTGAACAAGCGCCTTCTGATGCCAAACAACATGGCTGCCGTTTCCTGATAAAGCCTACTTACTTAGATCAGTTGTACAAGAATATACCAAAGTAAATAACACAAATGGAACAAAACAGTCTGAAGGTGTCTAGTCTCCAGAATGTATTGGATTTATGATTAACATCATGTGAACGTGTGGGTTAGACCATCACAACAAATCGATTCCTCAGCCAAAAATGTCCAAAGGCTGAGAACAGCCGTCACTCTGTCGCTGGTCTGTGCACCACCCAGTGCAGCGGTGTGGGGGGTGGGGGTTAATAATAAACGGTACAGTAAAGAAATGCACCGGTATTGTAGCCGATACCGATCCGTTACAGTCTGCTCGGACTGGAAGTCTGTATATTTGTCACAGCACATAAGACACAACAGAAAAGCAAGCACGCGGTATTTCAGTGTGATGCGAGTTACTATGTGTCTCCTGTGTCCAGGCGAGTTCATCTCAGACGTGGAGTTGATGTTCTCCAACTGTATCCAGTACAATCCACGCCACACCAATGAGGCCAAGGCCGGGCTCCGCCTGCAGCAGTTCTTCCACTCGGAGCTCAGCAGACTTGGCCTGTCGGACCGCGGCTCCGCCCCGCCCGCCAAACGCTCCCGCCACTGAACCTCATCATCACCCTCCCTGCTGATTAGTCCAGGGGCGGCAAGTGGGCAGGACATAAATGCTATGGTTACTTCCCTCCTGATAGACTGGCATGGTGCTGAAATACAGGGGTTTCTCCTTCGTGACCTCTGATCCCCGAGAACCTGTCGGCCACTGTGGTCTGAGTGAAACCTCAGCAGCTGGGGTCAAAGGTGAAAAAGGAACCAAACATTAAATTATTGTTAAAGTTGGAGGCAGACTGAGCTCTGCAGTCCGACTGTATTTAGATTAAAGCTCATGTGAGGCGGACGTTTCCTTTTTGTCACCGTCTCACCTGATCATGAGCTTCACTCTTTCAAATCCTGTGGAAAAACATTGCAGCTGCTGTGAGTTTGTAGAAATATAGAGAAGTTGTGTAGTAGATTTGTCAACCTGCTGATGTTCAGGTTGTGCGTCTGTGTGTGGACAGACGTGCGTCTGTGTGGCTGTAGGACAGTGGAGTCCCGACTTTTCATCCAGAAAAGCAAAAGCCACTAAAGAAACTTCAGCTTTGCACTGACAGTAACAAATGAGGTCGCTGTTGTTTGCTCAGGGACAAAGTGTTTGGTTAGAGTGAAAACATTCGGTGGCAGTGCGGCTGTTTTCACTGGTGGCCGCAGATGACACCGATGTCTGGTGCTGCCAAAGTGAAATCACTGAAGCAAACTGACCCTTCACTTTCCATTTGTGCACATGATGTGTGACAGTCACGGTTTAAAATCCGGTTTTCATATGTTTAAAAAAACACTGGTAAAATGAAAAGGGACAAGTGATCGTCAGTGTCCTCTGTAATAACACTGGACATGACACAGACTGTTTTGTTTTAAATTAGCAAGTGAAGAAAAATGAGGTTTTATCCTGTGTTCAAGATGACAAATATCGGCACTTTGTGGGTTTCTAATGAAAATGTTCCCAGCAGCAGGACTTTCTTTGAACTCGGTCACAGTGTGTAACTGAAAATGACGACCAGCACAGAAGGTCCAAGTCCAGTTTGCACCTCGGTTCTCAGCTTTAGGTCCAATTTGAGGTTTTCACTGAAACTTCTTGTTGATCTTTTTCTTCTTCATTTGACAGTCATCACAGACTTTGACAGACATGAACCCAACAGCCCGCAGTCTGGCCCGTAGATACCTGCCGTATGACTGAGGATGTGGTTTCCAGTCAGTCATCAGAGACGAAAACTGGATTTTAAACTTGGTCACACATTATGTTCACAGACTTCAGGTAACAAACTGTTGCTGTCTCACGCAGCTCCTCTTCTGTCTGTAGTCATCAATCCTTTTATTCAAATAAAACAAAGTAATGTCCATGTCAAACATTTTGACATGAGGGTTTGTAACAAGACCTTTAATCAAATTAATGCTAATAACAAATCCCAACGAGACAACAGCTGAACCCTGGAGTGGAGTGAAGCAGCAGCCGTGAGCGCGACCTTGTTCAGGTTTTCAATGTTTGGTCAGGAAATCGGAATCATTAGCTTTGTCTTAAAGTGAGAGACACATGAGTCTGAAGAAATGTAGAGAATCACCAAAAATGAGTCTGGAGAAAATAATCGGTGACGAACTGAAACCATTTGGTACCTTGAAGTGAAATAGTTGGTTTGGCAGAATGAGCCTTAAAGGAACAGTTCACCATCCTTCACAGAATAAAATGTTCAGAGCAGCAGCGATCAGTCCAGTCCAATGACCAAACTAATCAGCAGCTGTAATGCAAATCAGTTGTGTTCAATTGAAAAATGCTGAAAGCTTGATGGTTCCAGTTGAAGGTTTCCCACTGTTCCCAGTCTGGTTGTGGCTTATTTGTTTTGCACTGTTCTGATGTTTTACGGACCAAACCAAATGTAATTGACCATAATGAATATAGTAATTAGTTGCAGCCCTAAGGTCATTGTTAGCTTAGCTTAGCATTAACACTGGAGAACTCAAGCTACAAACATGTTGGCGCGTTAATGTTGAACACAGGTGTGAGACTGACTCAGTGACGCCAACTCTTTTCTAAAATTGCGAGCTGCGACGCCTCCATGGAGGCTTTGTAGATTTTGAATTTTGACTACTGTGACTTTTCCTGCTGTAGGCCGCTGTGCTCTTCACTTGTTCTTATCTGATGTTGGCGTGACGTGTGTGTCGGCGGGTGGAGGTCGTTTGCAGCCGACCTCTGCTGCGTATTTATTTAGTTGAAATCTCAGTGTTGGCTTTATTTATGACCGGTAGACGCCCTCTGCCTCCTGACACTCTCTCCTGTTTTTGTTGTTCTGTTATAAAAATAAATGGACTTTTATAACCGACTGCTGTCTGATGTGCTGACATACACCCACACCTTCAGGTTCACAGGTCACAAATGATGACTGTTGATGATGTGAACTGCCTGTGCATGTAGACAGGTGACAACACAGTCCCAGTGAGGTGCTGGGCCCCGTGCTACCAGAACAGCTCCACCGTGGCACTGACTCTCCATGAGGGATGAACACTGTTCTTCCAACAGATGTTCCCTCATGTGGTGTTTTGATGATGGTGGTGGAGACGCTGTCTAACATGTCGCTCCAACATGTCCCATAGCTGTTCAACTGGGCTGAGACCTGGTGACTGGGAAGGCCACAGCATCTGGTTAACAACATCATGGTCCTCCTCATCAGACCAGTTAGGGACCCCTGGTGTCCTGTGGATGGGGGGGGCTCTGTCGTCCTGGAGGAGACCTTTCCTGTCAGGAGGGACGAGTTTGATCAAAGGGTGAAGGTGGTCACTCTCTAAGGGGACAAGAGGGGCCAAACCCTGAGAGCACAGCAAAGCCCCCCCCCCCCCGGGGGGGGGGGTGGAACCTCCTGCCTGTGTCCACAGCCAGAGGGAGACTGGTCTCTTTATCAAATTGAAAAGTTAAAATGCTCCAGACAGGGAGCTGAGGTATAAAAACTGTGGTGCAAAGTAACTAAGTACATTTACTCAAATACTTTACTTGGGTTCACTTGAGGTACTTTGAGTATTTCACATTTATGACACGGTAGGCCATTTTATTCCCAGACACCTATGGACAGCTGGAGTTACTTCGCAGATTCAGATTAAAGTAAGAAAATCCATAGAGTGACATTTTCCATTAACCCTGTGAATCCCGACATGTCAAATAACTGAGATGTTTATTAACCCTTTTAACAAAATCCAAAAGAAGATTCAAGATTTTTGCCATTTATGCAGAGACAGTCAGTCCAGGCATATAGGAATAAATGTGCCATATTATTTAGATTAGTTTAATTTATTTTGTGTCACTTTTGGCGATTTTTATACAAATGTTTTTTAGGGTTAAGATGAAGCTTTGTGAAGGCGGACAAACTGCTCCGTTTACATTTATCCCCACCTGAAGTGATTAATCTACCGGACCTGGTCCCTGAAGGCCCGTTCAGGGGTCCGTCAGTCTACGACACTACAGCAGGCAAACGGACAATCCTGGTTGAAAACGGGTTTTTTCCCAGTCCGGGTTTCTGGGGTGAACTGGTCCGGTCTGTGGCCCCTCCCCGCTCCTCCTCCTCCTCCTCGGATCGGCCGGCCACATTCCCCGCTACCTTTCACCTCTGAGAACCCCCGATCTAACGGCGAAGCAGCGCGGACAAACACCGGGACAACATGGTAAGAACCGAGTCGAGACAGTCCCCCGGGTTAGATAGTGGTTGATAGGAGCCGGTCCGTGACTGTTCGGGACCGCGCGGATCTCCGCTGGACCGTTATGTGGCTGCGCGTGCGGCGTGATGTTAGCCAGCATGGCTACCGTTAGTTAGCCGCTCTGTCCGCCGACACCGACCGTTGCTCGGTGCTTAGTCACCCATAGGCTTTCACGGTAACGGGCCTTGAGCCCGGGACGTTAAGGCACGTTTCTGTGGTTTTATCCGTGTAATGGTTTTTGTCCGGGTCGGGCCTGCCCCCAGGCCGTGTGCCCCGGGGCGGCCATCTTATTCCGGCCGTGGTCCTGCAGAGCAGAACAGTTCGTACCCAGCCGAGACAGGCTCCCGGACCCGGACTAAACTGGACCAGTAGGACTCGATGAACGAAACTAAACCGGTTCAGATTAACTAGCGGGGTCACGAGAGTGCGTTTAGCCTGGATTAGTGAGCAGAACCACACTGGTGGCGGTGACCAGTAGTCTGAGGCCTGCACCAGTTACCCGCGGCTAACCAGTAACTGACCAGTGCCAGTACCACTAACTAACCAGCTCCAGCAACTGGTCCAATCTGAGCACACCACCAATATTCAGACATCTTATAAACAATAATGTCAGAAGGCAAATTATCTTTAGTTTATTAGTTTACTGGTTAATTAATCAGCAGCAATTTGTCTTCAAATAATCAAACGGTTGTGGGACCAAACCAGCAGCTCGGGTGGGGGAATAAATAACAGCAACTGGTCTTAGTGGAGTGAAGTGTTCAGTTTCAGCAGTATACAACCCCCCCCCCCCCCCCCTCCCCCAAAAAGTACTAAATACCACAGTGCACAAATACTGTTGCAGGTGAAAGTCCTGCATTGAGAATATTACTTCTGTAAAAGTGCAAAAGTATCAGCATCCAAATCTACTTGAAGTACCATCAGTACCAGTACTCGTCCTCCAGAACGGCCCGTGTCCCAGTAACGTCTCTGATACTGGATCATAGTGACTAATTACTGTGTCCATCACTTTAATGCTGCAGCTGGTAAAGGTGGAGCTGATGGTAACTACCTTATATACTTATACTGGGAAGTACTTTCCATCCTGCTGGGTAGCTGGTGGATTTCCTACTGGGATCAATAGAGTCTGATGGTTCTACTGGGTTTGGTTTGATTCATCTGATTCTGGGCCTGAAGGTATCAGGTACATGTAGTGTAGTAAAAAGTACACGGTTTGTCTCTGACATAGAGTCACAGGATGAAGGAGCAGGACGTGGAAGTACTCAAAGTACAAAGTATACTTCAGTGCAGTACCTGAGTAAATTAATACTGTTCATTCATACTAGCAATCAAATAAAACTATTTATACTGAATGTTTTGTACAAAAAAATTAGCCCTCTGTGGCAAAAAAGATGGAACTTAACAGAAAACAGATAAGGACGTGTAAAAACCAGTGTATTTATATCATACCATATTATATATTATATATATTATACCATATATCTGTGGTAAAGATTCACGTGTCCCTGTTTTTCTGAACTTGTAGAAATGCAGCTCTGGCACGTCTGCCTGTTGTAGGTGTGTTTCCACTAGTGTCCCAACGATACGATAACCGTCTCAGAACATATCACAGTATTACACAGTTACTTTTACTATCAGCTTCAAAGACCCTCAAGAACGAAAACAGTCTTTTTCTACTGCAGGTGACTGTGACAGCTGTCTGAGCTGGACTGCAGCACTAGACTGACCCTAAAGAGAAAACACAGTTACAAAGATAAAAAACAGAAACTAAAGCATGTTAGCACCGGTAGTAGAGGAAGTATTCACATCATTTACTCAAGTAAAAGTACTAATACCACACTGTAAAAGTAGCCTACTCTGTTACAAGTAATGTAGAGTGCATTTTATAACCAACGTTTATTGTTTGGGATTAAAGTTAGACATGGGACACACACTCTGACCTGGATGGAGAGGCGGTGCTCTCTTCTGGCGAATGGAGTTTGGTGATTTCAGCCTCGTCCTCTCTGCCCTTTGTCCGCTGCATGTGTGCGTGTGGTGCCCGGTGTCCAAGCACGAAGTAGCAGAAATTGGCAATACTCAAGTACAGAGATCTAAAAAGTGTACTTGGGTACAGCACTTCACTAACTGTACTTTGTTTCTTTCCAACCCTGCAGTTAAGTGTATCAAATAACGTATGCATGGAAGTATTTATTATGGACTTACTACCACTGAGTGCCTGAGCCGCTGTCATGTTCTCTGCAGGCATCAGGTGTGACAGTGAACGATGAGGTCATCAGGGTATTCAACGAAATGAAGGTGAGGAAGTCTTCGACCCACGACGAGGTGAAGAAGAGGAAGAAGGCTGTGCTGTTCTGCCTGAGCGAGGACAGGAAGAAGATCATTGTGGAGGAGGGGAAGCAGATCCTGGTGGGTGACATCGGAGAGACTGTGGATGACCCCTACGCCTGTTTTGTCAAGCTCCTCCCCCTCAATGACTGCAGATACGGCCTGTATGACGCCACCTATGAGACCAAGGAGTCCAAGAAGGAGGACCTGGTCTTCATCTTCTGGTACGGTATCACTCGGTATCACAACTGAAGTAGGATAAGACCAATCTTAGGACAAAACATTCACAATAAATCATAAGTGAACTGTTGTTCAAACCATGAGGCAGACAGACAATGAGCTGCAACTGAATATTCATCGAAACAAGCCAATTGATGCGCGGCGGCTGTGAGAGGTTGTGCAGGGACTCTTTGTCCGGCCACTGTCCTGCTGACAGACAGCTGTTCTGACAACTGTAAAGAGAAATGCGCCACTCGCGTCTCGCTGTCAGTGTAGATTCCCAGTAAGGGTCAATGTTTTTGTAGTATCTGTTTTTGGTGTTAACACTTTGTAGACGTCTCTGTGCCCTCATCTTGTTGTGGGTGTGTCTGAATGAATGAATGTTGTGTATCTCGTGTCTGAAAAGGCCTGTACTGTATAAACGTGTTGCAGTGTGACTCAGCCAGTCAGCAAATACTTACATATTCGCCATTCGGGACAGCTCTAGTGCATTTGCTTAAATATACACGTCATATTGATCTATGTGAAGTTCTCTCACGAGGTAAGGTGGCCGCCCTCCAACCGCAAGGTCGGCGGAAGGCTCGATTCCTGTTCTCTCAAGCCCACACCTTGAAGTGTCGCTGGGCTAGACACGACCATAAGCTGCTCCTGATGGACAGCGACGCCATCGCTGTGTGTGTGTGTGAGACAGAGAGTTGGTGCCACAGACGGCCGCCTCGGTTTTGTGCCGGAGACAAATTCCTTGTGCGTGTAACATACGTGACCAGTAAAAGTGATTATCACTGTCATTCCATTCATTTGACGCTGACATGCACATGTGCTGTTGTGCCCAGATGTAAAAAAATCAGAAAATAAGGGGCAGAAGACAAAAAGCACAAACATCCAAGTGAAAAGACAGAAGCAGACTTTGATGGCCCCGGGGCCAGAGGTTCTGTTTGAAGTGCCTCTTAACAATTCTTGTTAGAAAGTCAATGAAATGACTTGGAAAAGACGTAGAACCATCACAAAGAGACAGAGTGACTGTAAATAGAGAGAAGTTATCCATTGTGCTGTTTTGTAGTCAGTCTGGGACTGCATCGTAGGAGGACGGGGCCCCGGGGCCTGTTGTCACCTGATCTGTCTGTGGGAGCGCCCATGCTGATCGCTTCATCCTTTAGGTAGTTTGCAAACAGCCTGACACCACCGGATTGCTGCTTCACATGCGAGGTTTGAACTAAAGAAAACGTGAAGACACCGCCCGCCTTCTCTGACGTTTGGGGGCTTGTTACTGTCTCTACAGATGTTTTTCATTGCTGATAATGACAGTGATGATTAGTGGCATCCTGATGGGTGTGTTGCTCCGCAGGGCTCCAGAGAGCGCTCCACTGAAGAGCAAGATGATCTACGCCAGCTCGAAAGACGCCATCAAAAAGAAGTTTACAGGTGAGGTGTCAAGTGACATTATAGGTGATTACCTTTACCTGTGAGCAGCACAGGAAGTCTGTCACACAAAGTCTGTCACACCTGGAAGATCTCGGGCAGGTCCTGCTCTTTGCTTAGACCAGGGGTGGCCAATTCCAGTCCTCGAGGGCCGCTGTCCTGCTTGTTTTCCAACTATCCCTGCCTGACCTGCTGCTGATTACCTGGCTCAGGTGTGTTCAGCCAGTCAGAAGCTGGAAGATACCAGTTCACTTTGTCTTTCCTCACTCCACTTTCATCTAAGATGGTATCTCCCAGCTTCTGACTGGCTGAACACACCTGAGCCAGGTAATCAGCAGGAGGTCAGGCAGGGATAGTTGGAAAACAAGCAGGACAGCAGCCCTCGAGGACTGGAATTGGCCACCGCTGGCTTAGTTTCTGAGGTTTGTAAGCACTCTGAACATGTGTGCATGTTGCCTGGCAACACAAAGATCCTGTGTGGGGAGACGTCTCATCTGTTGTATCATCACTGGTCGGAGCTGGAAACAAACAGCCACAGGGTGGAATGTCCTAGTCCAGGTGTGGTCGGTCAGTCGTCGAGCTCAGGTGTGACTTGTTTTCATGAAGATCAAGACGGATTGATTCTTGAGCGTCTTGGTGTGTCTGTGAGTGTGTGTACCTGTAGGTTTGCCTCAGGTGTGTGCCTGACCCCTCGGTGACCCCCGGTGTGTCTTCTCAGGTATCAAACACGAGTGGCAGGTGAACGGGCTGGACGACATCCAGGACCGCAGCACACTGGCTGAGAAGCTGGGCGGGAATGTGGTGGTGTCTCTGGAGGGCAAGCCGCTGTGATGTCACCGTGGCCGAGCGGAGCCAAGCCAAACCGCCGTGCCATCCGGACCGAAGCACCCACCCCCACCTGAACACCGCAGCTTCACCCAGCAGCTTGCTCTGTCTGTATCCATGTTCTGAAGGAGTTAGCGTCTTTAGACCTCTTTGTTTTCTTTTTGCTTTTTTCCAACATGGAGATCTCATTAACATAACGATATGCAAACACCTCCCAGTTCGTTGCCACATGACTTCTGTTCACCTGGCAGAAAAACACCGACACACTACCAAACCCCAGGAAGGTTGTCTCTCTCTCACGGCCAGTTTTGCCAAAAAGTCGATGTGAAGGAAGCAGCCACATGTGTTGGAAGGCGAGCGCCGCACTGCGATGCTCCGCCTCCTGCAGCACACGGGTTTTTTACATGTGACTTTATTTATTATTGTAAAGTGTTGTTTCTTCTCCAGTATGTTCACACCAGACACACATTGTTAGACTATGCATCCAGAAGAGAAGATGCTCACCCAGCACTTTTCATTGAAACACTACAGTTGAGACACCACCCTGACGTCTAAGTCTCTGTATTCATGTCACCGAGCTAACGTTTGTTTACCTCAGTTTTCATTCCTGTCAGATGCACCGTCATTCTAGCTGTTTGGTCGTCGCCTTACTTTCAGTTCGAATGTAACCGCCACACCAGAGTTAGAGTGCACTTTTGTTTTGTTGAGACACACTACAGGAAGCAGATTTGACCCCAGCAGTGAGAGACGACCCCACGACAACAACGAGAACACGATGACATCTGGAGCCTTAAAGTGGAACGTTGTTTCTGAGATCACAGGAAGCCACTTTGCAATAAAAGCCTGTGGCAGATCTGACACCTCCTGCCTTGTCTCTGCTTCCACCAATCACAGAACGCTTTCACCTGCAGGTCGCTCAGTCGAGATCCAGCACAGAGGCTGAACAGGTGTCAGTCACTTCCTGTGCGTGGGTTACCTCTCAGGCTCAGATGACCTGTGAGTGGAAATGTTGGGTGAAACACTAGAGTCAGCGTCACCTCAGCAGAGTTCCAGTAGAGCCCAGACCTCACTCTGACCCCAGTAGAACGCCAGTGTAACACAGCTGTGTTCTAAAGTGTCACACCAGTAAAACCTCAGTGTGACCCCAGTAGAATCACTGGTCAAAGTAGGACCACATCAAAACCTGTATCAACTCAGTAGAACCCTTTTCGTTTAATTTATCAGCTTTGGCCCCAAAAGACCCATAAAACAGTATGAAATGAACATGGACCCGGTTGTGTTCTGTACCAGCCCGGTCCTGGACTAACTCTGACAGACCTCAGGTCTCAGGCCTGACTTCCTGTCAAGTCCAGCAGCTTCAGGATCTGATTGATTGGAAGCTGTAAATTCCTGACCTTAAAAGGCCTGAAGCTGTAAACGCACCCAGTGACTCAGCTTCAGCAGAACGCAGAACCAGGTCTGAGTTCAGCTGAGACCACATGAATCTTGTTGTATGAAAGAGCAGAAAGAGATGGGGGACGCTCCGAGAACCTGATCCTCCTGCTGCTATTTCTGGACCTCACATGCTTCACTCACCACGTCCACAAAAGGACAGAGTGCACAGAGATGAGCTGAGACCACAATAGACGCACAGCTACACAACAACAGACACACAACAGGTTAATATGGCAGCAGATGGAATCCAACATCTATAAATACACATATTTAGTGAATGTGGAAACGAACATGCTTAGAAGCATAGACTACACATAAGTTGTAGAGCTAAGTAGATAAACACACTAAATGTAGGAATAAAGTGTGAAAATGGCAGCATTTTAATTTGGTGATGTTGAAATGTAACAAAACTCGTACACTGAGAACAAGGAGACAAGTAGGAAACTGGACGTGTTTAAAAGGACTTTTGAAACAAATTAGTTTTAAAGAGTTTTTGCCTTTTGAAATGAATGAAAACATGAACAACAAGAAATGAGACACCTGCTTTCTGAGGAAGTTTCCTCTAGCTTCCAGTGTTTGTGCTAAGCTATGCTAACCGTGAGGCAGACTGAACTGATAATAAGATTGATCTGTTTATCCAGCATAAACTCAGAGGGTTGAAGGGTGTTTGTTTATCCCTCCAGATGCTAGTGACAAAAACTCAGCCCAGTTTTCACCGTGAAGTCACCATGTCCCCTCTGCCAGCAGCAGAATGAGCAGCTCCTGTGTGCAGTGTCCCTGTGGACAGACACACACACCTGTCACTGCATCACTGTGAAGCTGGAGGGAACTTAGAAACAGGACAATTCTCAGGCAGGTTCTGCAGCCTCTGCTCCTCTGGTTTCTACGTGGGTTTATGGAGGTTTGTTCAGGAGGGACGTCGGAGGTGATGAGATCCTCAGGAAGTGGACGTTACACTGAGTCAGATCAATGTGTTTCATGTCTGTGTTCATGTGTCACTGGGTTAGGACTCTGTCAGGCACTGAGGATTTTATAGAAGCCCAACTTGGCCCAAATCTATTTTCACAATAGATTTTTTTCAAGTGAGCCCAGCTTAGTGCTAAGCTAAGTGAAACTAAACACTTCCTGTCTTGGATGCAGGGTTTCAGACAGACAACAGAGAGGTCTGTTCAGAAAGTGAACAGGATGTTTCACTGTTTCCATGATGGTGTTGTTCCAGAGAGAAGAAGGAACGTGAGTGTGTCTGCAGCGCCAAGCGCCACTGGTTCCACACAATCACACATCTACATTAAATCGGTTTATTATACACACACTGTTTGGGGGTTTAGGTTCTCCATGTTTGGTGCTGGAAAGTAACCAGGTACATTTACTCAGATTAAGTACAGTTTAGAGGTATTTGTATTTTACCTGTATATTTACATTTTACACTTTCTGCTACCTTACATCAGAGGGAAACATTGTATTATTTCCTGCTCCAGATTTACATGGCAGCTGCAGTTTCTGGTTTTCATATCAAGACTTTACATTAAAAAACCGTAAAACAGATTGTGTGCCTTGTATGACAGGCAATCACTGCACTAACAGCAACCCTGCATAGAACTGCAGTATAAGGAATGGAAACATTTTCTTAGCTGTGTTTCATAAACCCAAGTAAAATCTAGTGATACTAGTTAATGTTCTGGAGTTAACATATTAAATACAGGAACAATACTAGGGTACTACCTTTCATGAAACATTAAAAGTAAAAATACACATTATGCAGAAAAAAGAGGTTTATTGTATATTTTACATTAATCTCTAATCATCATTTGACTTTTTCCATTGTATATATTATCAAGTTTTGTCTATAAAATGTTACTACAGCTGTAAGATACATGTAGGGCAGTAACGTACAATGTTTCCCTCTGAAGTTTTTGTCATTTCATATAAAGTAACCTAAAACGGAAATACAAAGTATAAGTACCTCAATACTGCAGTAAAGCATGTGAATAAATGTACTTAAGTTTGTTTCCATAAAGAATCTGATCAGAACATTTAAACGTACGAAAGGTAAAAGACTTTAGTTATGAATGGACGAAACAAACATCCCGAGGTGGTTTTTTGGGGCCATGAAAACTCCGAAGACTCAATTTCCCAGAATTCCTCTCGTCTGCTTACAGAGTTAGCAGTGACTCCCACTGGTGGTCACTGCGAAGAAGTACAGATAGATAATTACCCGTGAGGATACACTTACACTATTTAATGCTTTTTCAAGATTTATTTCATTTTTACTGGTCACTTGTCTCTATTTTATTTTACAATCTATATTGTTTACAACAACGTTCCCAGATGGAAAAAAGAAACACTGACTTTTCAACCTCTCCTCCCAAAACACCACACGTGTTCAAAGGTATTAATTAAATGACTTGGCTCCTTTCTTCCTATCTGAAATAATATTCAGAGCGCCTGAATTGATTATATGATTTGTTTGATGTTGTACCTAATGACTCCGGCTTCCTCCCACGGTCCAAAGACATGCACCTTAGCCCTGTGATGGACTGGCGACCTGTCCAGGGTGGACCCAGCCTCTCAGGACTGGCTCCAGACCCTCGTGACCTTCGTCAGGAATACGCCGTATAGACAATGGGTGGATGGATACCCAATTATACACGTAGTTAATGTTTTATTGTGTCTTCATCCTCACAAAATCATATTTGTTTATGAAAATGTAAACGTTGGTTAATTTATTGGGGGGGGAACACATTTGTGTAGAAGAATACGTTTTTGCTACTGAACTCTTAAAAAATTTGTTTATTACAGATGTTTCATGTCGAGTGATTTTTCTTTTCTGGCAAAAATAAGCCCTAATGTTTATGGTTACATTTATACCTTTTAATATTTATTCTATTTAGCGTAGAAAAATGTGGCACTATTAACATTTTGATAAGGCTACCGTTAACTTTTTGTTTGTTATGAATCATATGTGGTTTTTAATCATTTTTTTTGTTTGGAATTTGATTCTTAATATTTGTCGTTCTATTTTTGTCATTTGTTTTGTAACATTTGTTTCTTATTAATCATTTTATGTATTTTAAATGTAAATATTAATTTGTTGTATTTAGTTTTAATTTGTTTAGATTTTTTGACATTTTAACATTTTTATTTTACATAGTTGTGTATCTTTAAACAACATTTATGTATTTATTTAGTTTGTTTGGGATTTTTAAAATATTAATTTTTTTATTTTAAATCTGATTGCTGAAAGTTGCTTCGCCGTCGTGGCGTCACGCCACTTCCGGTCTCCACCCGTGGGCAGCCATGATGGTGCGTTCTAGCTTTATCTTTTTTTTTTTCCCCTCTGCTCTCTCTGCTTATTGTTTCCCTCCTTTACCTGGGTCCTAGTTTGTAGCAGGCTCGTTGGCCCGCTCCGCTGCTCAGTATTGTGTTACGGTAAGTGCGTCGGTAATCTAACGGTTCTGTGCTCTCTGTGTCTTACAGCAGGAAGGGCTGGACGACGGACCCGACTTCCTCTCCGAGGAGGACCGGGGAGTAAGTGTCACTGTTTACCTGTCTATGTTCACCTGTCTATGTTCACCTGTCTGTCTGCGCTCACCTGTCGACCCGTCTGAGTTCTACTCTGTGTTCTGTTCGGCTCAGCTAAAGCAGCTAGTTAGCTTTAGCTCGGGGTTTCTAGCCTCGTTAGCCGTCGCTGCTAGCGTTAGCTTCACGCTAACGGTTTGTAAGCTTCAGACTGGGTCTGTCGGCGGCGGTTAAACAGGTTTTCTAGGCTGAGAATCCACACGCTGACCCCACTGGTATCCGTGCAGCCGCGGGCCGTTAGTCTCTGATACGCTTGTTAGCCAGGTGTAGCAGAGGCTGCAGTGACTGTCACATGACTGGCACAGTTCTCTGAGATTACCTGGGTCACTTGCTTCAGTCCAGAACAGAGTGACACATCTGTTACCTGTGAATCCAGTCTGTTACTGGTTTGTGTGGGGAAACACTAGTTGTTTCCCAGTTCCAGGTGCTAACTTCTGTTCAGTGGGTAGAGGGGAGGGAGAGCCATAAAGTCAGCAGCCTGCTTTAGACTCACTTTCTCTTCTTTCTTTTTTTACTGTTTCATTGCTTTTCATATCATTCCAGAATATACAATCATTATCTTAGTGAGGAAGGCATCATGCTGATACAAGTTCATATTTCAGTCTTTAACTGAATGTGTGAGTAAAATGATTTTAAAATTAAAATCAGAGCAAACAGGTTACATATTCACTGTTCCTACTGTTAATGTTCACCAGCTGTCACTCTGAATGTCTGGTCAGAGCCTGTGGTGCATTATGGGATATGTGGTCTCTGTCCTCCTCTGCAGCCACGGGCAGTAAACGTGGACCTACAGACGGACGCTACACTGCAGGTCGACATCTCTGATGCCTTGAGTGAGAGAGACAAGGTCAAGTTCACTGTGCACACCAAGGTGAGAGGGTGAATCCAGAGGCTGACTTCTGTGTTGCTCTGAATCCTCGTCTCCATCACTGCAGTGTCAGAGCCAAAGTTCACATCACTGCTGCAGTTTACCTCCTGGTGCCTCAGACCTGATGTGTCCACAGCAGTGTTAACAGACCAAACCAGATCTGGGCCACCTGTGTATGTGCTCCTAGACCCGATTCCTCTCCGACCTCTGACTGTGCAGCGCCGTCAGAACATCAGATCAGAATCCATGTGGTCGTTTTAACGTCTCCTCCTCTGCACATACGGCCTGTCGTCATCATTCGGCGGCAGCCCGTCACAGACCGGTAACAATAAACATGGAGGAGAGCGACGACAGTGACGGGGTCAGTGGAGAGACCAGGACGTTTCACATGTGGTGGACGTTTATGGAGAAGCTTCTGATCAGGACAAACTAGAAGGAACATGTCGTAACCCAGTGGTTTGGGAGGAAACTGGGCCATTTGACTGTCACACACACCACCTGGTTGTTATTCTTGTGTGCACATGGCTCACATTTCAGTTCCATCTTTGCATGTGTGGCAGTTTAGGAGCTCAGCGGTGTTCATACTGGAGCCGGGTACACAGCGCTGACACACATGGACGGGAAGCAGCAACACAAGCATCAGATCTGAGTGTTAGGACCTGAGATGTGGTTTCAGCCTTAGTTGAACTGAAGCAGATGTTTGCGTTGGTCACAGTGCATAGTCTCTAACACTCACACTCAGAAATGTTTATTTGATGTTCAAGAATTTATTACAAATGTACAGCTTCACTGGTTAAACAGCTTAGGTGATGTTTCTGGCTCCAGGTCACATGTTTGTATTCTTAGTCAAACACACATATATGTTGTGTTTATATGTTCACACTGATCAGATGAAGTTTGTTCCCACAGAGCACGCTCCCCAACTTTAAGCAGAACGAGTTCTCTGTGGTTCGACAGCATGAAGAGTTCATCTGGCTGCATGATTCGTTTGTGGAAAATGAAGACTACGCAGGATACATTGTAAGAAACGCACACTATGTTTTATGATATTTAGGTTCCAATGGGTGACACAAAACATGGCATTCTGCATCACCCAGTGGGTTCTTGCAGGAGGCAAAACCTATGTGCAGGAAGCATGGGGATGTAAGATCATTTAGATCTACTACCTAATGTGTTATTATTAAGACTTTGTTGAAAGCCACTGAAGTTCCCCTTTAATGAATGCCAGTGTTTTACTGACTGGGAACAGGATCCAAAATGGAACCTGCAGAATTTGACCCTAGAACGGTTTAATAACACATGAGGGCACGATTACAAAGAAGATCGCTAGAACTGGTTACACAGCTGTGTGTGCAGTGGTTCTCAGTCTTGTTGTTGTTTTGTTTTAGATCCCCCCCGCTCCTCCCAGACCAGACTTTGATGCATCCAGAGAGAAGCTGCAGAAGCTGGGGGAGGGGGAAGGGTCCATGACCAAGGAGGAGTTCACCAAGATGAAGCAGGAGCTGGAGGCGTGAGTCCACACTAAGGCCCCAAATATGCTTCACACATGTACGTGGGTGCATGTGACAGTGTGTAGCCCGACGCATGTCCCTGGTGGATAGCCAGCCAGTCAGTCAGTCAGTCACAGTATTAAACTAACATGGTGTCTGTGGAGGAACGTGTACTGCAAGATTTCTGAATGAAGAGGTGACGAAGTATTATAAATATACAGACATGCTCAGTTAGGGCTTCGATGAACTGGTCAGCTGTGGAAGGGAACCCAGACAGAAGGGCTCCGCTCTCTGTTGCTGTTTGTGCTCCTAACTGAGACGCTCAGACTGCACCTCACGCTGCATCATGTTAGGATTTTCAGGTGACACACAGCAACGTGTATGTTTCGGGCCACAGCTTCTACCACACAGTGATTCAGTTATGTTAGTGTCTGCTGAGAGAAGCCCACCACCCTGACTGCCTGCTGTGTGTGTTCACTCAGAGAGTACCTGGCCATCTTTAAGAAGACTGTTGCCATGCATGAGGTCTTCCTGTGTCGCGTGGCGGCTCATCCTGTCCTCAGGAAAGACCTTAACTTCCACGTCTTCTTGGAGTACAACCAGGATGTGAGTGACGCTTTATTCACACAAACATAGTCTTGACAGTTGCAGTTTGGAGGATTAGACAGTGGTCATAGCTGAAAGGAAGAAGATAGAAACACACCTATGATTAGGTTTATGATGTCTAGTCAAATGCTTGTAACGATTTACCGCTTCTGCAAAAACCTGTTGCTAAAATGAATGAATAGCTTGATTTCATGGTCATATTTAGACATGAGCATGTGTAGATTAAAACAATAGTCACTCAAGTACGTGAAATGTCCAATCCAGTATGTGCAACCACATCATTTCTCAGCAGCTATGGTGTTAAACCCCTCTGTCCGCTGTGGCACACTATGGTCATAAACCTGGGCTGTTCTGCTTTGTCTCCTGTGTCCGTGCATGGGGAATTCATTTCACATAGGTTGAAATAAATAGGATTTAAGGTCCTATAGCATATTTTACATGTTGTTTCATGATAGTTATGCAGGTGACACCCAGCCACAGGGACCTGGTTACGTTTTATTTGGCTGTCAGTGGTAAAGCTGTATTTTCCCTGCTACACACGATTATCCCAATTATTATCCTGATTATTCTACACAAAGCAGAACGCTGTGTTAACATTGGTGTCTGTAGACTGTGCGTTTTGATTCCAGTTCCTACATTTGAATAAAGTGTCATCAGAGTTGCCCTAAGCTTCTCTCTTCTCGCCGATTATCTCTGTCTCCTGCAGCTCCCAAAGTGACTTCCAGAGTTAAAAAAAAAAGATCAAGTGCTCGTCACTCTGAAGGCTTTGGCCAGTTCAGACTGAGTTCCTACCTGAGACGCTTGATAAATACACTGTGGTGAAGCAGAGAACAAATTTGATTTCATCAGTCTATGTAGTTACAATGACGTTGACTTTGGGACTGAGTAAATACAGATGTCGACACATTTTCTATGCTGCATTATAGGGAAAAACTTATCCATAATTTCAAATGTTATTTATCAGAAAAAAACAAGAAGAAATGACTTTTCTTATTCCTCAGCAACAGGACACGCTTGTCTTCATGTGCGCATCTTCTAGTTTAATTGTGACAGTATGTTGGTATCAAAAAAAGGACCTGTGTTTCACGCCTGCTGTGTGTGGAGTACGTATACTGTTGCTGCACGTGACCTCTGACCTCTCCGCTCTGACAGCTGAGTGTACGAGGGAAGAACAAGAAGGAGAAACTGGAGGATTTCTTTAAGAACGTGGTGAAGTCTGCTGACGGCGTCCTGGTAGCTGGAGTCAAGGTGACCAACGCAAACGCCAGAGTCAAGACAGTGGCCTGAGTTTTGTCTCTGTCAGGGTCAACTTGGTTTTCTCTCCATGTTTCAGGATGTGGATGATTTCTTTGAGCACGAGAAGACTTTCCTGTTAGAGTATCACAACAGAGTGAAAGACGCCTCGGCCAAATCCGACAGGATGATCCGCTCACACAAAAGTAAGAGTCAAGCTCAAAATGTAACTAATCATTAAGATGAAAGTAATGGTTGATGTGGGGAAGGTCCGAGAGGGGTGTTCCGGGGGAATCTGACCTGTTGTATGATGGTTAAACATACATAAATGCCTGCAGGGTAAATATCAGATCCTGATAAGATGGAGTGCATGTAAACACACTCGTTGACCACAGGAGTTATATTTGGATGTTGGAGGTCAGACTTGACGTCCTACATGATTAGGTGCGCAGGAGGTGGATTCAGACCTGTGAATGAAGCTGTTGAAACTGATGTAACTCTGTTTGTGTTCAGACGCTGCAGATGACATCAACAGAATCGCCTCGTCTCTCTACACGTTAGGAACGCAGGACTCCACAGACCTGTGCAAGTAGGAGCTACAGCCAACATTTAAACCCGTTTCAACAGAAATGGGACTATTTTATCATAGCCAGCTTGTTTATTTTTTACATAGTTTTCATTGTGATGTTTCAGTCATGGGATCAGTCCCTCTTGTTGATCTGTTTGTTTCTCATTTCTTCTGTTGAAGGTTCTTCCTGAAAGTGTCGGAGCTGTTTGAGAAAACGAGGGTGCGTTTGTTTCCACCTGTGAAGCCCTGACCCGCCCACTCTGAACTGATTTTTGAACCCAAACTGAAACTTAATCAAAACAGACGACTGCCACTCAGCCTCCTCTGGCACTCTGTCATCAATGTTTGAGTGATGACAGAGTGCAGAGTGAGACGGAGACTGTTGTTCTAACACCTTACTGCTGACCTGGGTTCACATCTGCATGCTCGTGTCTGACAGTGTAGTCCTGTGTAAGCAGTCCAGGCCCACAGTAGGTCAACATGTTTTTCTTCAGCTTCGTGCTAATGAAAAACAAAAATACCCAGTGTTATCAGACTTAAGTGTTCCTCTGCTTCAGGTTTAGGCTGCAGTTAAACCTGTGTTGTCTGTGATAAAACTGTGAGGTCTCTTAAAGCTGAGTGTGGGGACAATACACTGCTTTGGTTCTCTGCACTGATTCTGTCTATTGCTGTTTGGCAGAAAATCGAAGCTCGAGTTGCAGCAGATGAAGACCTGAAGCTGGCCGACCTCCTGAAATACTACCTGAGAGAATCGCAGGCTGCAAAGGTCAGACTGCTCACTCACACCTTAAAGCATCGGTCTCATGTTTGTGTTCTTAGTCAAACAGTCACATAGTTATTCTGTCTTGTCGTCAGCAAATCTCAGGTGTGTCAGTCTTTCCACACTTCCTGGCTTCCTGTCTGTGACACTCAGCTCCCACTGGTTCCTACTGAAGTGCTAAATCTTTAAAAACACCTCAGAAGTACATAGTTAATTTTTTTAAATTTTCAAATGAATTTCTGAACACTGCTGTAGTCTTAACAAACAGAAGGAAGTGGTGTATCTGTTAGGAACTATTTTCAGCAGCGGATGAATCCACATTTGGTCTTTATTGAGTATCAGTGTCAGCAGGACGGTGTATGTGGGACTCAGTCAGAATAAACTACAGTGTGTGTTCATGGTGATGAAGGAACATGTGGCCCAGGCTGTGAGAAACAATTCATTAATCAATAGTCCAGGAACTGGTTCACTCACATATTGACTTTTGTGATGTTGTGACCTGCTGCAGGACCTGCTGTACCGGAGGAGCCGGGCTCTGGTGGACTACGAGAATGCTAACAAGGCTCTGGATAAAGCTCGAGCCAAAAACCGGGATGTCCTGCAGGCTGAGACCAGCCAGCAGCTCTGCTGCCACAAGTTCGAGAAGATCTCTGAGTCTGCCAAGCAAGGTCAGGTCCTCATCCAAGTTTCTGCTGTTCCTGATCATTGTTACTGGTGAAACACACTGGAAGCGAGATGCAAGTGGTGCGTTTTTCTGTCTTTAAAGTCACTAAAACAGCTGTCTGTCAGCAGGACAGGGGCCGGACAAAAAGTCTTTACCAGGCCGACCAACAGTGTAGTGGACAAAAATAGTTTTCATGTCAGATCATTGGAAAGAAATCACATTTCTATGTAGCCTATGGATTTAGATTTTATTAATGTTAGTTTTTGTTTGGATTTTTTTTCCCTGGGTTGCTACAGAGGGGGAAAGTGCAAGAAAGCAACCTGATCAGTCGTAACAGATCCCAGTAGAAACAGAAAACAACAGGATATGTGTGATTTTTAAACAGCTGACTGTGGAGATGACGCTTCATTAAACGTAGAAACTAGACCTGAAGCATAAGAAACTGAGGGTTCTACAGGAGACACGCAGGTTCAGGTTCGACTGATATAATGGGATTCTGTCAGCAGCGTGAGACGAGCATAGAAAACACTTCCAGTGCGTTTCACCATGTACCTTTACTGCATTGGATGAGGGGTGAAACGTCTTCGACCTAGAAATCTAGTCCAGTTGTTTTTTTTTCCAGCTTATTGTGACCTGGATGACTGAGAATCTGCACAGACACCTTTACTGCGTATACCAGTAGCTTCTACTCCCAGTTCTTCTAGGCATTTACCTCGTTGACTCCTGAATCTTTTCAGATGCATTCCTCGTTACTTCTGTTTCAGTTCCTTATGACTTTTACTGCTGACCTTGTTTCAGCCTTGTTGGCTATTAACGTCTCCACCTAACAAAACACAAAAGTTCCCATCATGATGAGCTGATGAGCGCATTTTATTTTAGAAATGCTGCACATTCTAATATAAAGTTCAGGTTCATCCACCTGTAGTTCCTCCTCTGCATAGAGAAAACTGCTTTGTCACAGATGTCATAGCGAGCCTGCAGTCACACCTCAGCTCACACTGAAAGATCTGCAGTAATACCGTCAGGTGGAAATTCTTCCAGACTCCTGATGACAGATATATTGATCACCATGAAATAACTCCTGATCATGGCGTATTGCAGTCCACCTCTGCTGTAGTATCTAACAGTGAGCTGTCCTCTGAACACAGAGCTCATAGACTTCAAGACAAGACGAGTGGCAGCGTTCAGGAAAAACCTGGTGGAGCTGGCGGAGCTGGAGCTCAAACATGCCAAGGTACTGAAACACTGCAGAGACTGCTAACGGAACAATTCAGCCTTTCACTTAGTCACGACAGACAGTGTTCATGCCACAGATGCCCTCCGGGTGACTCAGACCTGATGTGAACAAACCAAATCAGATCAGCAATGTCTTAGTCACTCCTCGGGTGTTTAACCAGAGTTGGGATAATTATTGCATCTCAGAGACACTTTAATGTTTTAAAGGAGGAGCACACAGATTCACCTCAGGTTTTGGGTTAATGGATAAATAAGTGGATTATGCTGTGTTATATTGAGGGATGTCAAATGGATTGTCCACAGGGTTTAAGGATTAAAAGTCATTCAGATTTAAAAAACTAAACAAAACTTCAATTTAAATCGATTCCTTAAACAACATTAGCGTTCATGCCAATTTATACTGTTAAAGGTTTTAATGCCCCAATAACACTAGTATTAATAGTTAAAACTGGGGGTTTAAAAATCTGATGGCGTGTATATATACACCATTTCACACAGTGCACCTGTGTCTCTGGCCCCGCCCCCTCTCACCTGCAGGGGAACCTCCAGCTGCTGCAGAGCTGTCTGGGTGTCCTCAAGGGTAACACTTAACTGTACTACCCTGCCCACACTGAGCTGGACACGCCCCTCTCCACAACCCCGCTCATTTCAACTGGACACGCCCCTTGCATGGGCGGAGCCTGAGCAAACGGATGAACAACACTGTGGACCAGCAGAGAGAGAGAGAGCAGAGGGTTAGCTGACAGGAAGTCATCACTAACCAGACACCATCCTCATCGTCTTCATCCTCATCCTCTCCCTCTCTTTCCAGCAGCACCTGGTGGCAGACCTGCAGCACCTGTACTGGTTCTGCATGTCCTGCACTGGACCTGCAGCACCTGTACTGGTTCTGTTGGGCCAGCAGCACCAGTAAGGTGGATTTCTTCAGAGTGATGTTCATATGAAACCCTTCACATCATCACATGACATTTTACAGGAGACAAAGTGTCTCCTGATTAGTTTTTCTTCACATTGCTTTTTTTTTTACTTTACCTGTCAGAGGGTCCGACAGAACCAGGCATGATCTCTACAGTCTGGCTCCAGTCTGATTCTGGTGTAACTGGGCCTGGGGATCATTTGAAGTGATACCAACCTGAGCTTCAGGTCTGTTTCCATTAACTTATTTAGCTTCTGTTTTCTCGGAACAGTACGAGAACTTTGTCAGGAACTATCTGATCATAGAAGAAGAAAACAACATCCTGAATCATTCCAGACGTAACTTGAAAGAAACCAGAAGCTAAAGTGGAAACATGCATATGAACATCACTCAGAGGAGACTGGCCTGTTCACAGTCTGTTGTTTCTGCAGGAACTGGTTCCAGTTGGTTGTCTGGTCTCCATCTCACCAAGTCATTTTTGTCTTTAACTGAGTCATAAAAGTTTAATTTTCTGCAAATATGTGAAACAATCTGAGTTTTCTCAATTATGAGAATGTCATGGTTCATGTTGACAGAGATCTTGAGTTTTCTCAGTCATTATTTTTGTTAATTATGAGATATCAAAGTCATAAAATATTTTGTGTTGAATGCGGTGCACTAAAATCTATTTGCATGAAGAATTTTTCAGGATCAGTGGTTTTGTTTTTTTGTTTTTTCCTGCGGTGACCTGTCCTGTTACAAAATAATTCCCAGAGCCCGACTGACAGTGAAAGTTCTTGTTATGACTGAAAACACTCAGTCGCTGTTACATGATCTTCATCGCCACACGGACTTTGTCCATTTGTCATGGAGGTGTAGATGCTCATTCTTTGCTGAGGCACTTTTAGGAGGAAATTATTCAAACTTTATGAAAAAAAATTTTTTGAAACCAGTTGATTGATTGAAGAGATTCTTTCAAAATAAGACTCAAGAACAGACAAACACGACTTGATAACATGCAGCTGGATTTGGTCTGTCCGTCATTTCTGTTGCTGCTTCAGCTGTTGTGTCAATGTCCTCAACTAATTATGTTCTCTGTCGTCTTATTTTGGCGGTGTGCATGTGTCGGGGGGCATTTTATTGTGTCGATGAACTTCCTGTGCTGCTGCTGTGTGACAGCGTTTTAAGTCCAGCTCTCGGTCCCCGTTCGTATTAAAGTGTAATGTCACTAATCAACAACAGCCTTGTACATGTTTGTATTATCTAATGAACGCTAATCACCTTCATGATCATCACCACCAACTGTAGCTTCTTTTATTTTGGTTGAGTTGGTTCATTCCAGTCGGCGGTGGCGCTTCACTCTGTTTGCCTTAACGTCGATCAGTCGCTCACTTTGATTCATTGTATAGAAAAAGTGGAAAGAAAAATCACAGAATGAAAAGGTGTTTTGTTCCCTTTATTTTTACGTGCAATGTACACATGTTTTTTCACTCTGTGACCAAAGCTCTCATTACTGATTCAAGATGGAGACGTGACGAAACAAATAAAATGGCAAGAGAAATAAAAGAAATGATTATGAAAGTCGCAACATTTTAGTTGTTTAAACTTCAGCAGGTCTGTAATCCACCCTGGTCATACTGAGACTGAATAAAACTTGACAGACACTTTCTTAAAACTCGTCTGTGTGGACAGTTTACTGGGACCAGTCTGATGCACCGGAGGGCTACGGGTTTCATGAGGAGTCCCTCAAAAGTCAGTTGTACATTTAGAGAAGTCAGATGAGAAAATCAGATCAAGGTGTTTTTATGTTCTTTAACCTACAACAGACGAAAACAATAGTGTGTGAGCAAAACATACACAATAAACAGGAGTACTAATGACATATGTAATCTTGTGAAACTGAATGAAAGTAATAGCCTGGAGACTGGCTGGGTCCAGCTGGGTCCAGCTAGGGAAGAGCTCGACATCTCTGCTTCATACCCAGAACGTCTCGGAGCAAATAAACTAAAGGTAAAAGACGACTGGCTCAGACATGCGGGAGCTACAGAAAGTACTCACGGCACGTCACTGTTCGCACAATTGATTGGGTTGTAGACTTCAGTTGAAATTGATAACCATTTGTGCTTATCGGTTTACAGTCATAGTCCATTATGACAAAGTCAAAACGTTTTCATGCTGCAAAAACGTGAAGGAGCTTGTTAAGATTTGCCCAAATCCGCGTGCTCAAAGATTGTAGAAACTTCACCAAGAAGACTGAGGCTGTAACTGGTGCCAGAGGGGCTTCTGTGAGTGATCTCTCTTTATGGTGTTTATTATTTTCATTACTCAATTATGTTCGCTCCTATTGATATGGACTGCCGAGGGGCCCAAAGGGCTCAGCCAGAGCCAGTTAGAATGTTAATGTTTCTGGATGGCGGAAGGACGTGACTTTTTCAGGCTGGAGATCCTGTGTAGGATGGGTGGGCGCGGGGCGTTATGTGTTTATATGTATGCAACTTTACAAATTGTGTAGCAGTTTCCTCATTTGTCGACCGTGATGCTTTTTAACGAGGGCTTTAACCGGAAGTTGGCCTGCGAGTGCTTTTACTTTGACAGTGTGATGACGCGCAGGAACAGCGGACTGAAAGCTGTTCACAGGATCCACAGTTTGGCTTAAAATGAGCTCTATCGGGACCGGGGTGAGTGTTTCACTGTTTGTCTGAGCTGGTGCTTTATGTCAATGTCACTCTTGGTGTTTCTGTATCAGATTTTAGTCCAGGTTTCAGAAGAAGAATCCGCATTTATGCTGAAACTCTCATTCATTACAACTTATAGCTGTTAGCTAACGTGCTAGCCTGCTGAGTCACAGCGAGGCCCGGTGAATGTTAGCTAGCTGAAGCTAACCTGATATCGAAAGTATACACTTAAACGTTTTAGTTCAGTTTAAGTGTGGTTTACAGTTAGTATTTTGGAACTAAAATAAGTAGATCTAATCTTAATCCATTTTGTCCCAGGAGCTGTAGAAATGGGTGTTGTTTGAGCACAGTGAGAGCTAAGTTAACAATTATCTTCGGTATATGTATAACTCCCTAAAGAACAAATCAGGTTTGCATCTTAATGTGTGTCAGCTGAAGTTAGTTCTATGAAGAAGACAATTTCATACTTTTTACAGACTAAGTATTTTAGATGAAATAGGTTTCCTTTAGATCCAACCAACGTAATTTATTCAGATAAAATTCAGACTTTTAGAGGTGGAGCACTCATCTCATGCTGCTCTCAGATGTGGAGATGCAATATTCGCTTCTTAAGGATAAGTAGAGTGAAGTTTCACTGAGGGAGTTTGAACATATCGGAGCACACTTTTTATTTTATTATCCACTTAGAATCAGTACTGCTGTCACATGAATCTGGGGGACATTGATGTGTTATGTCATTTACACTCTGTACCTGTGTGTCCTGCAGTATGACCTGTCGGCCTCCACCTTCTCTCCGGACGGCCGAGTGTTTCAGGTGGAATATGCCATGAAGGCAGTAGAGAACAGCAGGTTAGTGCCTCAGCATTATTAGCTACAAGCCTGTAGTCCCATCAGTATTCACCAAACTCAGTCACATAAGTTTGGGTACATCTAATTGTGTGTGTGTGTGTAGCACGGCCATCGGTATCCGCTGTAAAGATGGTGTTGTATTTGGAGTGGAGAAGCTCGTTTTGTCCAAACTGTATGAGGGGGGCTCCAACAAACGCATCTTTAACATTGACAGACACGTCGGCATGGTAAACACACACGCACACATGCATCTTTATTGATATCATCAACCAAAGCTTTGATGAAAAATACTTGTTGACGATGAGTGAATTAATTTTAAACCAGCTTCAGAGAAACAAAAAATTGCAGACTCGTGTCAAATCCTCGACATTTTAATCTAGGCTCAGTTACCACATGTGAAGAGCGAGGCCCTGGTCTGTCACTCTGGATTCATTGTCTATGGGCTCTCTACTGATATATGTTGTGACAGTTGAATATTTCTGATGATAGATGAATGTGACTAAATGAAGTGTCTCTCTCTCCTCCAGGCTGTAGCTGGCCTGTTGGCTGATGCTCGCTCGCTTGCTGAAGTTGCCAGAGAAGAAGCCTCCAACTTCAGATCAAACTATGGACATGACGTTCCCCTGAAGGTAAATGCAGCCTCTCCTCTTTTTTTCAGTTGTAGCTCATCTTCTAGTTGATGCTAGGCTAACGGTGTTTCCTATTGTTGCAGCACCTGTCAGACAGAGTGGCCATGTACGTCCATGCCTACACGCTATACAGTGCTGTGAGGCCGTTTGGCTGCAGGTGAGTCTGAGGCTCCACGTCATTTATTACAGCGAAGCTGATCAGTTGAAGCTTGTCTGCAGGGAGGGATGATGAGTCACAAAGGTTTCACTCACTGGACTGAACTCCTGTGCTGTCACTTCCTCTTGGCTGTCTGACCAGTCCCTGAGCTGATCAGTAACACACCTGTCTTAATCTGATATCACAACAGCCAGGCAGGTGTTATCTTCACCAACACTGCTCTGAACATAGAACATGTGAAAGTCCACAGCAGCCAATGTGTAAAAATACAACACAATGGATTCACAAAATGAAATTGTAGTGACAACTGGAAATAAAATTAGCAGCACAGGCTGGTAAACAGCCTCTGTATTGTACAGAATGTGAAAAGACTGAATCCAAACCTCAGATTTATGGTAGTGACCCATCCCCAGTTTTTCAACATTTTCTGCTGTCTAATGTCTGTGTTGTTGCTTCTGTGCAGTTTCATCCTAGGCTCATACGACAAAGACGACGGCCCTCAGCTCTACATGGTCGACCCATCAGGCATCTCATACGTGAGTCAGAAGTACTGCAAGCTCTACACTGAGGCTGTAGGCCTGGGTCAGCACCTGGGGGTGGGGGTGGGCAAGATAATAATCTCAGGGCTAACATGGCCTCCTGTGTGCAGCTCAGCTCCATGTCCTTCAGCATCACAGTGCTGGCAGCTCTTGTATGTGACATTGACCCAACAAATGTTCTGTTGCTTCTTTCTGTTTGACTTCATTAAATCTCTGTGGTTGTCACACTGAGAGGAGCTGTGATCTGCCTCCATGAATGACTGGAATCTAATGTAGTATGACGTTTCTGCACAGCAACAGGTCAGCTGCTTCACAGATTCATCTTCTGTACAGTGAAACCCAGCAGCTCTGTTCAGGCCCAGTCCAGCCCGATCAGAGCTATTGACACATTTTGACCTTCAGCAAACATCCAAAAATCTTTTCCTCTGGAGAGCCACAGCATTTTCTCTGGCTTGTTGACTCCTGTTTATTACAGGCAGGTTTCAGTTTGGCAGCTTAATGATCTGATCACTGAGGTAAATCCATTTAAAGCCACAGTCAGCCTGATAAAGAAAACACTCTCACTGAGAGCTGCTGTATACTAGGCTTGCAACGGTTAGAGGTTTTCACGGTATGATAACAGTCAGAAAATATGATCGTTTCCCAGAATTCCACGGGTACTATTATTATCGGCTACAGTGACTCTTAAAGGAATGAAAACAAAAGGGTCTTTTTTACTGCAGGTGACTGTGACAGATGACTGAGCTGGACTGCAGCACTAGACTGACCCTGAAGAAGAAACTGAATTATAAACATGATTTTAAAAAGAGCACATAACTAGAACATGTTGTATAGGTAAAGCATGTTAGCACAGGTAGTAGAGGAAGTATTCACATCCTTTACTTAAAAGTACTAATACCACACTGGTGCAGCTCTTCTGGTCTTGTTGGGATTCAAGTACAACTATTGATTATTTTCATTAAATCTGCTGATTATTTTCTCCATCAGCTGACTAACTGGTTTGTAATTATCCCGGCAGTAGACATGCCGTCACAATGCTCTAAACGATTATGAAAGTAGTTGCTAATATAATGCAGGTGTGTGCGACAGCATAGCCAGACTGGTCCTGTCTTTACCATCACCCTCGTGCCGTGACTCATGTCAGCCCCCAGAGCCAGGAAGGTTGCAGTGTGTCTTTGTGTCGCATGAGGATCAGTGTGAGCCCTTTTGTGAGTCAGAGATAAGTGAACGAACACACAATGTTGAAAATTATTTCTAGAGTGTATTTTAACTGACATACTCTCACGTTTTATTGTTTGGGATTAAAGCTATAAACGGGACACGCACTCTGAGCTGTATGGAGAGGCGGTGCTCTCGAAGGTGTCCGTTTCTGAGATATCCAAACTAGTTCTGTGCTGCTGGTCTAAGTTTCTTTTCTGGCGGATGGAGTTTGGTGATTTCAGCCTTGTCCTCTCTGCCATTTGTCTGCTGCATGTGTGCATGTGGCGTCCGGTGCAGAGTCTGACAGGCAGTCGGGGAAGAAAGGTGCATTTGTCTGTTTTTATGCTTCATTAGGAATTTAAAATTCAAAGCAAAAACGAATTGCCTACCGCTGGAAGTGTGTTTGTTCAGATCTCTTGTGGGACTTCAAGGGTTCATGGAGGTGAATTTTCACATTCACTTACACGCTCACTTTCAGCCACCGGCTGTGGCTCAGGGTAGAGCGGGTCATTTCCTAACCGGAGGATTAGCGGCTCGATTCTTGGCTTGTCCAGTCAACATGTTGAAGTGTCCATGAGCAAGACACTGAACCCCCAGTTGCTCCTGGTGATAACACCGGTGTGTGTGAATTTATGAGTAAAAGCGCTTTGAGTGTGCTGTAAAGCATAGAAAAGCGCTATACAAGTATGACAATTTACAGCATTGCTTCACTTTACCAGTAAATAATATAACATACCTTTTTAAAAAGGTTCAAACTCTGCCATTTAGCCTGCCTGTATGTGACTGTAGCTGGAGGTGCACTTTCACAAGCGGTGACAAGCCTCAGTTGTTCTGGTAAATCCAGATAGCTGATATCTGGTGGTTTATCCAACATGGTTTCAGCATCATGCTGTTCACTCCCTCCACGTTTAGATACTGGTAAATGGACTGTAGCGCGTTTTTCCACAGTGTGTTGCACTGACCAAAGCGCTTTACAGGAGATGAAACAACATTCACATACCCACGACGACAGGCTGTCACACAGCGGCGCTAGTCAAGCCACCGGGAGCAATTCTGGGGAGACTGGGAGTCGAACCACCAACTTGCTGGTCAGGAGACGACTGCCCTACCTCAAGAGCCACAGCCACCCGTAGAGGTCAGGAGATCTGTGTCAGGTTTTTTGATGTAACCGTGAAAGACAAAACTTTTGCCAGTGGGTCAGACCTGTCTGTTGGAGGACTGGCGTGGCCCATAGGCTGCTGTGTTCCCCCCAACTGCTATACAGACAAAGAATCCATCCTCCAACAGTGAGAGTCCCAGTCAGACCAGTAACCAGACTGTGTTTGTGTGTTCAGGGCTACTGGGGCTGTGCCATTGGAAAAGCAAAACAAGCTGCCAAGACAGAGATTGAAAAACTGCAGGTGAGTTATTTTTCAACTGTCTTTAACAAACAGATTCAAGCTGCAGCAGCTCCAGTAACCCATTTATCTGAGCTGCACCAGGGCCAGAAATCCAGTTTGTCCAGAGCTTCTGTTTCTGTCTCAGTAACCCGATTCTGTCCGTCAATGTCACGTTTATTCGTAAAGCACATTTAAAAGCATTTGTTGACCAAAGTGCTGGACAGAGTTTAAGAGTAACCTAAACAGATAAAAAATAAATAAATGAAGGAAAAACAAAATAATCTGGACATTATAGTTGAAGCAAAAGTTTGTATGAATTTTTCAGTTTTCTGATACAACAGTGTGTGGATACTTTGTAGCCCGTCACCAACAGACTGACATTAGTGTTGTGGAGCAGTGAACATATTAACAAATGAGAGCAGCTCAGCGACACACACAGCTGTGCTTCAGTCCAACTGGTGGGACAAAGAAAAGACATGCTGGCTTTCTCTGGTACAAACACTGCTCTCTGCTGCTGACACAATGTTAACAACAACACAGGCAAGCACTCTGCTTTGTTCCCCCCTCCCCTCTCCACATGTTGAAGGATAATCACCTTTTCCCCCTCCCCTCTCCCCACTCCACATGTTGAAGGATAATCACCTTTATTGGCCAACTATGTTACACACAAGGAATTTGTTTCCAGTACAGAACTGAGGCAGCCATCTGTGGTGCCAACTCAACCGATGGCTCTAACCATCGGGGGCAACTTGGGGGTTCAGTGTCTTGCCCAAGGACACTTCCACATATGAACTGCAGGCACCGAGATTCGAACCTCCGACTCTTCAGTTAGGAGACAACTGCTCTACCCACTGCAGGGACAGCACTGCCATTGGGATGTGTGTGTGTGAGATGGCTGCCTCGGTTCTGTATCGGAGACACTGTGTGTGTGTGTGTGTGTGTGTGTGGGACACTTGGCCAATAAAAAATTATCATTAAAAGCACAAAAATATTTGCATCAAAATATAAGCCCAAGTACCAAAAGTAAAAAGTACACTTTATGCAGACTGGCTTAAATTATTGGATTATAATTGTTGTATTAATCACATTTGATGCTGCAGCTGGTAAAGGTGGAGCTAATTTAATAACCTTCTCTACTTGAGTCCTTTTTGCTGTACTCTGAGGAAATTTGATGTGACTGTGTGTGTTTCTGTCAGATGAAGGAGATGACATGCAGAGAACTGGTCAAAGAAGTCGCCAAAATGTGAGTCAACTGCATCCACAGTTTGATTTTTAGTATGGTGGCGTACACTGCGACCTGAGCAGCCTGCACAGGCTCACACACCTCACCTCCATTTTCACCTACATTTCATCACCGTTAAGCACAGTGGTGGAACAGTTTGGTTCACTAGTCACCATTTGGGGTATGTATCGGTGGTTCAGTTAAATTGAAATAGGTTAAGGCATTGGCAGTAGAAATTTAACACGGCCGAGGAAAAATCCTTGTGCCAAAAATCCAGTGAAACTTGGGCCTAGTCCACATCTACAGGGGTATTTTTAAATCCACAGTTTTTCCAGTCTTTTTTTTTTTTTTTTTTTCACACACAGCCAGTTGTAAAATAAACAAATAAAACGTTGTCCCCGCAAAAGCACTGTCAGGAGTATGCCAAACCAACAGGTGGTGATATATTCCTAACTTTGTCATGTTGGCCAATCAGAAGTCTGAAAAGAAGTCATTCCTGGTTCCGGTAGACTAACGTTAACAACAATGCCCCATTCAGGAAGCAGACTGACAGTGGCGTTCAGTGTCACACTAGAGTATAAAGGTAACAAAACACAGGAAACGTGGAATATGTGATGGTCTGTTTCGTTGGAGCGTTGAGTGTAGAACTGACATCCATAGTGCATTCTGACGCCTCTGTTCCTCCACATAGTGGGCGGGTAACTGTGTACTATGTACACGTAAGCAAGTTGACAGCCCAGTTAGCAGTGTTAACTACAGTTACTAGTTTGGCTGTGTCCACCACTGCATTCATAAACAAAAGAGAAGACGTCTCGCATGCTGGCATCAAACAAATGAGATTCTGGCGCACACTCTGTTTTCCCTTTCCACATGACAACACTGAAAACAGAGTTTCTAAAAATCTGTGAAGGGCCTGGTGGAGTTGAGTGTTTTAACATGTCATCCACCTCCATCTGTCTCTGCTGTCCTGTTTCTGCAGAATCTACATCGTTCACGACGAGGTTAAGGACAAAGCGTTCGAGCTGGAGCTCAGCTGGGTCGGAGAAGGTAAGAAGCAATCATTGCTCTGCTTTTCCTCTTATTATACTGAGCTGGCTGTTGGATCTTCTGGCTCTACTGTTCTTTACTGAAGCCTCTACTTCCTGCAGGTTTTAGCTTTCTGATCTTGGCTTTTACTTCTTTTTCTCACCTTGTTTTCACCAGCACTCAAAGCAACGGGGCTCATTTGTATTGTTATTTTTACTAAATGAGAACTCTTTAAAAAGCTGTAAGAGATGAAGATGAAACTTTTTACTACTGACTTATTGAAAAGGCAGCATTTCACATCTGCTCAGTTCAGCCTACAGACTAATCCAGTGTAGCATCCGACTTCAGCTTGACGTTGCTGCCCCTGCACTGCACAAAGACAAGTGAAATCTGAGCTCTGTGCTTGTCCACTGAGTTTCCACAGAATGGCCGCAGGTCCTTCAAATGTCTTAAAATACAGTTTTACTAATACAAGGCCTTAAAAAGTATTAAATTGTCTTGAATTCAGATCGGTTGGGTCTTAGGCATTTTAGTCACTTCACTGCGAGAATTTCTCCAAAGAAGGAGAATAGCTTATTATTTTTAAAAATTATTAATAATAAAATGTTGCAGTGATCAGTTGCATTATGTGACCAAATTTACTTAAGCTGCGACTGCAAAATAAATGGCTTATGCACTCATGACTGCTCTCACTGTAGAAGTGGTGGACAGATGTCCGTCTCAGCAATACTGTTATCACAGCGTTTATCTGCAGGTCTATCGCTCAGCAGTTTCATGTAGCAGAGACGTCCAATATATCAAATGTGTCAATCCACACTGACTCTGAGACCTGTGTAATCACTGGACCTCTTTATTTATGATTCAGATCTGTTTTCCTTTGGCATATTTGAAGTGTAATCACTACAAATCAGGTAGATTGCCTGTTTACGTGTCAAAAACTTAAGTTAATGAATCCATACATATAAATGTTGCTGATGAGCCAACATGAAAACCGTTTTCCCCCAGTACATTTCTGCTGTTGGTTGGCCTGGTGAAGACCGTGCTGTCCTCCTGCTGACAGACAGCTGTTCTGACGAGAGGTGCATGGGGGTCCAAGTCAGTGTGGACTGAACAGATTAAACAAGTCGTGCATACGCACCGCTCACATCTGAAGTTAGTAGTGGCTGAAACCCACCATCAATCCTTCTTTAAGTATTAGGCTACTAGTAACTTCAACCCACAATGAGCTGGGACTAGCAGGTGGGTTAGGACGAACTGTGCATGAAGTCCCAGTCCAACACAGCAGAAATTCTTCCTCGGAAGAAAAATGGGCTACAAATAAATCACGTACACAAATGGCAAAGCATGCGCACAATTCATTGGTTTATTCTTGAGCTGAAATATAAGAGTCTAATCATCGTCATCATCAGTGTCGTCATCATGACGTTGACTACCAGCCTATAGAGCTCTACAGTGACGACAAAAGATTATACATACAGGCTATGCACATTGGATGGTCAGGGTATTTAAAAGAAATAAAATACAATACAGATTCTTACACAAAAATACAGAGACATTTGACATGTATCTGCATCTGGGATGCTTCAACTGAAACATTGTTGCTGATGCTCTGGTTGCCATGGTGACACATGACTCTCCTCTTTCCTGTCTCCTCTCTCCTTCAGTCACAAAGGGACGGCACGAGCTGGTGCCTAAAGACATCCGAGAGGAAGCAGAGAAATATGCCAAGGTGAGCTGGACACACCTGGACTCGCCTGTAGTCAGTGCACTCATTGATCAGCTGATTCAGAAAAGGAGGAGAAACATTTGGTCTAGTTTGAGCTGCATTTCAGCTCCATTCACAAAGGCCATAATTGATTAATCCCAATTGATTCAGTTACATCAGATAGACATGTTTCATAAAGAACTTCTCAGAATCTCCAGAGCCTATTTTTTATTTCTATATCCAACTGGTCGAGGCAGAAGGCTGCCCACCAAGAGCTGGGGTCTGTCGGAGGTTTCTTCTCTGTCTGTGTTTACATCAGCCTGATACCTGCAGACAGCTGCTAGCTAGCTTTAGCCCCCGACAGGAGCAGGCTGAATAAAGTAGAATCCACACACTGTCCACTCGACCTCTGCAGCCTCACATCTCAGAGCCAGAGATAACATCTGTTCAACACAGCAAACGGAGCTCAGGTCGGCGTCGGAGGCTTTTTCAGGCTGCCGCTCTTCAGGCCTGCTACAGGTTAGCCATACTTGGCTAACATCCTGAGTTATGACAGGATGTAGTTTGGTGTGTTTGTGGCCTGTTGTGATGCAGAACAGCTAACGTAGCCAACTGTCACCTACGTTAATTTAAAACTTAAAGTAACCTCTGTGCACAATGTAACAACTGGTTTTCCACACAGAAGACCTGTAACACTCCATGCAGCCCACACTGAACCACTTATAACAAGTAACCTCTGGAGGCATAACATCTAGGACAGTACATGTTTACTGAGGAAAGGCACAAATGCATATTGATTTCAAGAGTCAGTATTGAACTAGTGAAATAATAGAGATTAAGCTGAAAATGAATATTGTTGGGCATGGTTGTGTAATAAAAATGAAAATTGTCTGGTATTTTTATGCAACACTGAGATCTACTGACACTGTTTCAGTGGGCTGATCCTCATGTTTGTGTCTTCAGGACTCTCTGGAGGAGGACGACGACTCTGATGAAGAAAACATGTGAACCTAACACATGTCTCCTTAGCGTCTCCTGCTCTGCTCACACGCTTTCTCTTTTTTTATGTTTATACTTCATGGACATTCGTGTCGGTTACCTTGTTTTCTGTTGGATGAATTTAAGGTTTAAATAAAAATTTGAATCAAATATTTCCACACTGAAGTTTCTCTTTTCTGCCTGACACACAGGACAGGATGGTGTGAATGACTCAGTGTTGTTTGTTGGTCAGCTGATTATAAACTGTAAATAGAGATCTGTTTTCCCACATCACTTGACAGCAGCAGAGCAGGATGTTAGAAATCCCAACTCGGAATAAGCTGCAGAATTAAGTTTGAAGAAGCTACTAAAAGATGAGATAAAGGCGAAAATGAGTTGCATCCAGTGAACCTGGGCTGCAACTAAGCATTAGTTTAATTGGTTAATCTGCCACTTCTTGATTAGTTCATTTTGTTGCTAAAGTGTGCCTACTATAACTTTAGTATTAAATGAAGGAGGTGAATACTTCCTCTATTACTGATGGCATGGATAGATTATTATACAGCAGATAAAAGGCTCCCATCTTCATTTACACCCCGTGCACGGAGTTTCTTTGGTTTTGTAGTTGCTTGTTAATACTGCTTATTTTGTTATACTACACAGCCTTATGCTGGTTTACTTGCCCCTTGCATGGGGATATGTACATGCACATTGAGAGCTGATGTACCAGTGAAATTCCTCATGTGTCAGACACACCTGGCCAATAAAGCTGATTCTGATTGTTTTGTGTCCTATAAGCGAGTTCTGTGACTTTCAAACAACAACTGTCACTTCGTACAGTAATCCATCCATGGCAGGCCCTCACCTGTCTCTGTGTGTTTGTATGTGTGTAGAAATAACCTCCACACTCCCACAGCGGGAAAGCCATATATGGGTTTGCCGTCGGTGGTTTCCTGTTACGTGAGAGGGCCGATGTTCCTGCCCACTCAGACTCTACAATCGGCGCCACAAACACAGGTTGTCTTTACCCAAAACCGCCGTTTGTTAACGTAATTCAACTTTAAATTCGCATTTACTCCTAAACCTCCATCATCATTCTTCAGTTCAGACCATTTACTTAATATTTGGGCAGCCAAAACAACCGAGCAGTTTGTTGTAGAGTCTGCTTCAACACGATGCCTGATACGTGACGTCTCTCGTATGGAATCCGCATCGCCAAACTGCATTTAAAAAAGTGTCTGCTAAAGGCTCCTAACAGTTATCGGCAAGTTTTTTATGGGATAGGAGAAATAAATAGGGCATTTCACATATTCACAATAACAACGCTCGATTTCGGCATGCATGCAATGAGATAAGAAGCACGTATATAAGTAGAAATAAAACTTTGGTACACAAATTGTCCTCTCTTTCCGGTTTTTTCGGTTCAGTAGCATTCGCACTGAAACGCAATGGCGGCACATGAAACCGTGCGTTGTTAAGATTTTGAGTTAATTAACTGATGATTTGGAAGCAGATATTTAAGAAATTCCAATACTTTTCGAATTGTATCAAGTTGTTTTCTACCACTTAGACAGCCTTGGCCATAGACAAGGTAATATTAACTCCCAAGATTTTTGAATGGAGTTTGGTAAGCAAATCTCCAGCACGTATCGGGGCAGGGCTTCCTAAAGTGTCGGTACAGACGAGGAAGCCCTCTCTGCCAATTGCGATGCACTGCTGCCACTGAGAAAACGCGCGAGGCCAATTGTGACCTCCAATAGCGGAATTGTCTTTTAAGTTCGCTTCTAATTGGACAAGTACCCAACAGATGCCGTCATTTCCCTCGTGGCGCCGCGTTTGTATCATTCAATAGCGATACCAGAACAAGTACGTCCAATTAAAATAGAGGAATCGCACGACCAATAAGATTTTCCTCTTGCAACCACCGCTGTCACCGCAGCCAATCGCGTGTCGGGAAACAGAGCTTGGGGCTCAACAGCTTGTTGTTCGCTTTGCATCCCGAGCGAGAGGGGAAGCAGCCGCGTTCGCGTATGTAAGTATAAAGATCTTCCTTTTCTGCTATAAACCATACTAAAACTTTTAACGGGCAAAATTATCGGTAGACCAGGGACAGAAAACCGAGTGAATGTCACCGGGAGGTTTCCAGGTAATCGCTGTTGTACTGCGCTGGCTGTGGATTGAATGGCAGCGGCACTCGGCTTGTTTTTGCAGTGAAGAAATGTGACGCTCCTGCGCCTTTGTGGAACAGCCACTTATTAAATAAATAAATCCACAACAGTTTTTGTTCCGTCGACTGTCAGAGAGTCTCGTCATGGTTTGATGGGAACTTAGTTTATCCTCCAAACGGGAGGTAATGCTGTCGCTAGTCGAGCTGCCCTGCTGTTACCAGACGGTTTAAATCGCCATATGACCCACCAACTAGCTAGTTGAGTTGCTAGTTAGCCAACTAGCTAAATTTAGCTCCAGAGCGGAGAGTGAAGCCGCAGCTCGCTTCTCCGCTCTCTCCGCGAGAAACAGTCGTTGTTTGGGCTTTGTTCCAGTTGCGAATGGGTTGTGTACTGGTGACCGGAGTCCTCCTCCCAGCTGCTGGTTGTTGCTAGCTGGCGGTGTCAGTGGGGTAAAGTTAGCCGAGCTAGCCGAGCTGACATGGCGAGCTGTGATGGCGACGTGACTCAGTGGAGCTGGGAGCGGAGCGGGAACGAAGGCTTCTGTTCGTCCTGATCAGTGTCCGCTCACGGACCCGCCGACATTTAACCTCCAACCCGCTGAAACCGGTGACTCCATGTTCAGTCGAAATAAACGTTGTTAGGTGAGTTAGTATGTGCTGTTTGTGCTACATATTTGATCTGATCCGGGTACGGAGGAGGGAGGGAGGGAGGGAGGTGTACCGACCCTGAGAAGAATGCCTGAGCTAACACTAGTGAGGCGCTAGTTACTTAGCATTATTTTACAACCTCAGGACAGTTTGACAGTCTGTCCGTGTGTGTCTTCTGCTGTGCCCCCAACTTTAACCACGTCTTGTCCTCTGTGTGTCTTTCAGTGATCCGTAATCTTTCGAGCTGGACTCGCTCAAATAGCCGCAAGGATGAAGGTGAGTGTTTGACCTGCGACACTGAGGATTTTGTTCTGTCTGCTGGAACCAACATCTGATCACTTAAATTGGGCTTTGATGGTCCTGTACTGGAATCTTCCCAGTTAAAACTAATCTCTGTACAGTTTATCTTTAATTTGTTTGTGGTTTGATTGTGGATAGGAGGCATTTGCATTGATGAGCACACACAGCAGTGAGCCACTGCTGCTACTGTTCTGCTACTGTATATTCTGTCTGCTGAGCCACATTGATCATTGCTTAAAGTTTATCTCCAGCCTCATCCCCCAACAGAGGTGAGAGCTGTAAATGTGAGCCTGTTACTTAGGTAATTTACATCTTGGTTTTGGTTCATGTTTTCCGATGCATCTTGTGAACCTTATAAAAATTATCCTTGTCAGTGCAGCGGATTATGTTAGCTGCCACTTGCTCAGTTTTATTTTTGAGGAAACAGCAGCTTATTTATATAAATGAGTCAATTATTAGTACAAAAGGCTTAACATGTAAAATTCTGATTACATTTAAAGAACACATGGGACCCCATCGAGCTAACACTAGCTCAGACCATCAGTCAGCCTTTACTAGTTGGACACATGCGGAGCTTTTGTGCAGTCACTGAAGAAAATGTGTACAAGTGGTGCAGTAACAACAGGAGCACTAAGGCGGAGCTTCCACAAGGGTCAGGGTCCTCACCGCCTGTTTACAAGTGCAGTTTAAATGAACTGTGTGTTGGTGTTTTGTTGGTGTGGAACACACTTGTCCACCACTTGCAGGCATGAGAACACACAAGTTCTCATCACAGGTGTAGCTGTATGTCATGTGACAGTGAGGGAACATGGGCGGTGTTGGTGATGGCACAGATACCAACAAGTGTCTACAGACCACTGTACGTGTATTCACAGGGCAGCAGTTTTGATCACAAGCCTCTGTTCAGGTGACTCAGACCACATTTGGTCAGGTGGGACTGACAGAGGTGGGGGAGACAAACCTGCACAGACATGAGCAGTGTTAGCAGCACTGCTGTCATGAGGCTAACCTTAGCAGCTGGCTGTGCTACATTAAACTAAATAGATGCAGACGTGTTTATTATCACATTATTGACAGCAGCTCCAATCAGCAGCTTCACGCTGCTGTCAGACAGAAGCCAGTCAAACATCAAGAACACCCATAAATCAGATTCAGGCTGGAGACTTGCAGCTGCCCTGCTGTGTGCTGCAGTGCATACTGCGAGTGTGTGTGTGTGTGTGTGTGTGTGTTTGTGTTCAGGTATGTGTGTCTGTGTTGCAGGCAGCAGATGAGCCTGCCTACCTGACAGTGGGGACGGACGTTAGTGCCAAGTACAGAGGAGCGTTCTGCGAGGCCAAGATCAAAACTGTTAAACGCATGGTGAAAGTCAAGGTAAGACCCATAGGATCCAGGTCAACCTGCAGACAGGAATTCCAGGTGTACACCTGAGCAGAGTGGCACAGGGCACTGAGGGAGCATGGGTACTGTTACTGTGGTGAAACACAGAGGGGAACTGAAGGCGTCCAAAATGTAGGACCTCATTCACTGTTGGACTGTGACAGACCAATCAGTCACAACACAAAGATGATGTGTAGATCAACATGACCAGCTCAAAAACAGAGTCTCCAGCACCGACGTTCAGTGTTTTCAGGTCAGATTTATAACTGAAGGTGACAAAAATCATTTAATAGCAATACTGTAACACCCAGAACAGCTGTTTATCTAAATAATTACTTTATTTGTCAATCAACAAGCTAATAGTTATAGACTGTTTTGGTCATTTTTCAAAGACCAGTGAGAAGAAGCCAGATATTGGCTGGTTCCAGGCTCTCGGTGACAGAAGCTGCTGCTTTCTTTCCTTATCTTGATATATTTAATTATTTCATGTTTATTTGTTTTTCCTCCTAAGTTGATTGTCTTTTGGGTTTTGGACAGATGTCACTTTGAGTATGTTTACACTTCTTTGTTTTATAGACCAAATGATTATTCAGAACAGTTTTGCCAGATGAGCTGAAAATAAAAATAAAAGTTAGCTGCATCATTAATCTGGGTTTTACTTTGAGTGTCAAAGTTCAGATGCTTCAGGTAGCAACTATTTTTGCTACCATCGGTGAGATGAAGGCTGCAGGTGCTGCTGTGCGGTCGGTCTGCAGGCACTCTGATTGGTTGTTGGGGACGAATGATGATGCTGAGAAAAGGTTTCGCTCAGTGAGCTGATGATATCATATGATGTCACATCTTCTCTTGGCTGTCTGACCAATCCCCTGTCAGGTCACCCTCACGGGTACCTGTGACCCTTCAGACTGACTGTGATAGTGTCCTGTCAGTGTGAATGTAAGAGTCATTTCTTGAGCTCTGTTTGGGTTACAGCATTTTTAAACCAGAACCAGGGATGGCTGTTGAGTCCTGCTGTGCTTGTCACTCTCTGTACTTACTGCTTCTGTTATCCGTCACATTAGTGAGACTGAAATGTGTAAGTGAAGGCACCAATGCTCAGCAGGACACTTACTTATTCACTTAGTTATTTTTGAAAGTCATCACTTCTGTACCTGCTTATCAGGGTGAGGATGGCTGTCTGGTCGTACCTGTCTGTCACAGCCCTCCCTCTTCACCTCTGCATCTTCACAGCTTTATTTATGTTGAGCGATTCAAAGTGGGCTACACAGTGCTTTATAAAGAACCAGGAAATACCAGATAGAAGTGTAATGTGAATCAAAAATAACCCAGTAACAAATGAGATGAAACAAAAACTAGTAAAATGTGTTTTTAAGAGATTTAAATGAAGCAGGTTCAGTTTCCCTGTAAGAAAACAAACAGATGTGTTGAGCAGTGACTCAGTAAATTCACACAGGTAGTTGCAGTAGCTGCTTCAAACATGGTAACACATCAGACAGAGGAAGTTGTTTTGTTTTTTTAAGCAGCAGAC